TTTGATGTTAACAATGGGAGGGCTGCATGTGAGGCATGCAGTGCAACGTGGAATTGGGTACCAACTCAGCATTTGTTCTAGTACCGAGGAAAACCACGGAAAGCCTTGGTCGTGGGCAGAATGCAGAGACTTTATATATAAGATTTCGGTCCGTACCTCACAGGAAACACATTACGTCTCCACTACAGACCCAAACCGGTTAATGCTGTTTGGGGAAACAGTCGCTGTTTGTTGTGAGAACCGTACGGAACACAAACACACTGTGCAGTCTCTTAATGCTGAACCAGGCGGTACATATATTTGCTAATGTACAGTAATTGTGAGAAGTGACCAAATTACATGCCGGAACGGTAAGTAGGCGTACACCGTGTGACTTCAGTGTCCTGTAAACCAAGGGGGGGGGGCATATATGGAGTCACGGCATTCAGCCACCTCTCTAATGACTGTTTAAACAGATAGCTACTGGTCATCTTGTCCGCCCTTAATCCAATTTATAGATATTAGTACTGTCGGAGCTGTAATATCTTCTGGGTTCCACCGTATTGATTAAATACTTTAACTCGTATAAGCTATACTTCCAGGACGTGTGGTGTGTTTCTATTGATATTCGCGCGGGCGTGAAACCTTGGTGTCTGGTTAACGAATACTCAGGTTGTAATGTTGAAGCAGCCCGTAAGATTCCCTTAGCGGATAGTTCAAATTCTCTATTTAAATTGTAGGCCTGAGTATGGATTGCAGTTGTTTTCACGTAAACTGGACCACACAATATCCCCCCCCCCCACACACACAAGTCTATGTTCCCATTAGTTCCGTAATTACAGCGCATAAATGTGAGAGGGAAAGGAACCACAAACGCTCAGTCGGTATAGCGACAGACTACGAACTGAACCGCTGAAGAATTATGTTGATTCCCGACGGGGCAAAAAGAGATTGTCCTGTACTCCACAACGTCCATACTCGGTTGTGGGGTTTACCCAGTTTTCTCAGAAAAATGTCGGAGAGGCAGGCTAATCTCAGCTGATCTTGATCCTAAAGAGTTCTGATGATGGTGTATAACACCCAGAGTCACTGGGTTTTTGGGCTTTGTCCATCGTCCGGTATTTTAGAAACTGGAAACGCAAAACACAGAGATTCTCAGCTGATCTTACCCTCTCTTTCTGATGGTTTCATGCTTTGCTTATTTTTACACCCTGAGGATGGAGGCGATTTGTTGTTTCGAAACGTTAATCTGCCCTAACTTTACGGCGTTACAACCCAGAAGATTTCATTGAACATAGGAGCCGCTGCGACAGCCTGAAATCGGTCGTAAAGAAATGGGATGTAATTTGTGAACTGAAGTCAATTGGCTCTGAATAGGGTCTAGTAGCGGCTTTTTGTGAGCACGGTAATGAACCCTCGGGGTCCCATAAAATGAATTTTTTTTGACGATCTGGACAAGTACGTGCATTATCATTTAAGAAAGGAGTGCTTTGTGCAGTACGTCGGTTGAAGGGTAACTAAGGGG